CAGGTCCTGAGTGAGTTACTGCAAAACGCACTCGGTCTGGTAAACATCTGGTCCAAGGAATGTGGACTTAATGTGAATCCTGCCAAGACGGAAAAAGTATTTTTCACAAGGAAGTATAAAACACCCTTATTTAAACCTCCCACCCTAAACGGGGTGGCACTTACTCTCTCAACCGAGGTCAAACACCTTGGAGTTATTCTAGACAAGAAACTGGACTGGAGACGAAACAGTGAAGGCCGCTTTCGGAAGGCCAATACTGCCCTGAATGCCTGCAAGACGGCTATAGGCAAAAAATTAGGAATAAAACCACATATAGTACACTGGATGTACACAGCTGTGATAAGACCCATCCTTTTCTACGCGGTCTCCGTATGCGCTAAACAACACCTTATCCAGATCCAAGGTGGAGCGTGTGCAGAGGACGGCTGCCATGCTCGTTACGGGAGCCCTGCCCACTACACCCAGCAAATCTCTGGAAATAGTCTTAAATCTTCCGCCTGTGGATCTCTGCGGCAAATTTCAAGCCGGCTGTAGTGCGGTCAGGTTAAATACAATCCAGTCGTGGAGAGAGCTCAGATTTGGACACGCAAAAGTACTTGAAACTCTACCGGATAATCTACGACAGGCAGATTATACCACTGCTATACTCTGTTTAGACAACAAATTCTCCACAAGAATCCAAGAGAGGAACGAGTGGGAAAGGGCCACAGACCTGAGCCCAGGGTCTCCGGCCATATATACAGATGGTTCCAAGCTTAACAAAAGGAAAAGGTAGCGGGATCTACTCTGATGAATTCGCGCTAAATCTCAGTTTTCGCTTACCGGACCATTGTAGCGTTTTCAAGCAGAATTAAACGCCATAATGGAGGTGGCTCGGAGGAGGCTTATAACCTCCGCCCCTCCAGACGGCCTATTGCTATCTATTCTGACAGCCAGGCTGCATCAAATCTCTCAGTTCTAACGAAGCAACGTCCTAAGTAGCCACAGAATGCAGGAAGACTCTCTACCTGCTGGCATCAAAATGCTCCTTGATTGTTGTATGAGTCCCTGGACATAGGGACATCCCTGGCAACTGCCTGCCACGCCTCTTCAATCAAACAGCCTGCTCACGATAACTTTGTTATTTTCTGTACGTTTAAAAATATGAACAACTAAAATAAGACGTTAAGGAAAAAACAACTTATGTACATATATGAAATTTTGAATAACACATTTTTTCATGTATATTCACCAATCTGTGTGGTGTAACCTAACAAAAATTTAAATTAAAATTGTGCCATATGGCGAAGGGACACCTTAATGTACATACGTAGTATGTATAGTATATCATGATAAAAGCATAGTAAGGTAAAACCGTTCTCTCAATGCGTCGGCTATGATTTTTTTTTTTTGAAAAATTGAATTGAATTGAATAAAATTGAGAGTAAAAAAAAAAATTGTTCAAAGTCCCAGCAAAACCAGCGTGACCGAAACTCCAACACAAACGCAAATTTTATGGTGTTACTAACATACCTGTAATAATTTTTGATTGGAGCGCCATCTATTGTTTTTTCGTGCGAGCTATCTTTCACATATGTGACCTGGTCTACGGAAAGGGGGCTTAGGTGTCAAAAAATCAATTTTCACTTTTTGGTTGATTCGGATGGAAGATGAGATGCTTGTTCACGTGGTGAAAAGCAGAAAATCCTAACTTGCTTAGAAGTGTACTAGAAATGTAGAGAAAGAAGAGTAAAAACGAGTAAACGAAACGAGTTGCTTACTTTTAACAGCTTTTTCACAGAAAACTAGTTTTCGCACGTAAGCTCCCTTTTCGTAGACCAGGTCACATATGAGTAAATAGTCACGCTAATCTTTTCAAATATGAGCAAGCAGGCAAACTATTTGGTTTGAAAAATCACACGTACACAAAACTTCTGGGAGCATTTTTGATTCACTATTAAGAATGTGATAGCAAAACGTGCCGAACTTAGCGGGCACGCGTGCCGTCACGTCACTAGGAAAGTGACCGTCACTGTTCTTGCTGGGGTTGTTGTTTGAGATTGAAAATGAGAATGTGTGTGTGAGTTTGTGAGTAAAATTTTAAAATTAAATTGCATGATAAAAATATAGCAAGGTAGAAACGTTCTCTCAATTTGTCGGCCATGATTTTTTTTTGAAGTTTGCCAACATTTTAAAATCATATAAAATTGAAAATAAAAAAATGAAATTGTTCGAAAAAATTTCAAAATCAAAAGTTATCAAAACAAATTCTATGGGACTGAGAAATATTATTTTCTACTTTTTAGTCCATTTATAAAAGCATTGTATATTAAAAAGTTTTTTTTATATTATTTATTTTCTACTTTTTAGTCCTGTCTGAATAAAATTTTGCAATAGATATTAAAATAATTCAACGATATTAATAGAAAGGTGCACACACATGCATTTACATATGTATGTACATACAAACGAGCACCAATTAATTTTATTTAAAGAAATGGCGTGTCGTCTATTTCCGCTGTAGCAAACGTAGTACATAGGGCGACATCTAGATGTTATCTACCTCGCCCTATTCACTACAGATGTCGCCCTATGCACTATGCTTTTTTATAGGAACTTTTCAAAGCAAAGCTTTATGGTGTCGGATACACAACATTGAAAGTTTCTGGATCCACAACATTGAAAGTTTCTGGACACACAACATTGCAAGTTGATAAAAGCGTTGTAAAATGAGAATGTGTGAATTTGTGAGTCAATTTAATAATTAAATTGTTTGGAAAAGTCAAGAATTTTAAAAGTGACTCTCAGCGGTTCTATCTGACTATATATTTATCATGATTAAATTGCTTGCAAACGTCAAGAATTTGAAAAATTCCTCTCAGCGGTTCTACCTTCCTATTTTTGTATCATGTAGTATATTATGAAATTTATTACTAACTTCTTCCATTATGAAAAACTTTCTCCATTAAGTTTGACTTATTCCACGCATAGGGACTGCACGCACTCGGTTTTTTTGCTACTGAATATTTAAATATGATAATTCTTTTCTACAGATACATCCTCAGACGATGGCAGAGAACCCGCAACAGTTATTTCAGCTATTTCAAGTAACGCTCCTAGTACAAGCACTGGCATAACGACAACTTTGAAGGGTAAGCACTTAAAAGCAATTATTCTATAGTTTTAGTCATTATAAAGCTCGTTTTGATTTTACACACATTCATATCTATGTATGTATGTATGTATTAAACTGCTAGACAGCATGCACCGGATCGTGAATACCCCTAATAGAACAGTTCACAGTGAAGCCATGGTGGAATAGGAGAAGATAATACCATTATAAACTCACCAAATTGTAGACTGTCTTAATTGTGGCATGCATTTTAAAAGTAGTAGAATTTTTACGAATTATCATGGCAAAAAATTGGTGAAAACGGGAAATTTAGAAAACAGAATAACAGGCGGTTTGTAGGTGAAGGTCGAAGTTTATGTTTGTGATTTACTTCTCGATACCTTCTTTTAGAGTAACTAGCTTCAAATATGGGTTTTAATACCACTGAGGATTTGTAAGATATACTTCTCAGCAAGATTTTTACTTATTCAAAACAGAATGATAACGTGTTGAAACTTAAATAAATCAAACTTCACAAATAGACGCAAACAATATAAATTTGACTACAAAATTCCGGAAAATATATGCCGCAACCAATAAAATTATGCCATAGAAATACAATCCAATACCAACAAATAAAATTATCTCTAAAACATTTTTTAAAATAGTCGGTGACCTAACACTTGTTTCTTTGCACATATACAGCGTGGCGACGAATAACTGTTACCTCGTTTTTTTTAGAAATAAAAGGGTCCTTTATAGATTTTGCGAAAAAGGTATTTTATTGTTAATTTTCCACAG